CATAATATAAAGTATTGATCATAATTAATGAAACATATTCATCTTCCATAAATATTCAAATCATAATAAATGAACTCTCATCATTTCCATAAATATCTCAATTTATTGGGTTGCATTGGTTRTACAAATGCGACGGGTTGTATTTGAAACAAACTATATATATATATATATATATTTTTTTTTTCTTTGAAAATTACTAGAGTAAATATAAAAGTAGAAAGGTATTAATTAGTAATTATAGATAAACTGTAATAAAATTGGTAATTATATGTTAATTATGGTATATTTTCATTATTATTACTTATTTGTCATCTATATGGTTTTCATGAATGATATATGCATCTAATACGATATGTGTAATTATGATATAAATGCCAAATGATAATTGATTTTAGTAAGATTTTTATGAGTGGTTATTTTTTTATCCTTAAAATACGAATTATTGAAAATAATTTGGTGTAAATAGTAATGCAATTTATTTTCAACGGTTTTTCCATTAGTTATTTATCCACTCCTAAATGTCTCTAACTCAAATAAGCAGCCCCTCACCACTTACTCAGGTAGAGGTATAAGAGGATCTTGCGCAATAGAAAAAGCACTCAAAATCAAGTAAACAAACTCTAAAGCAAGTTTTTTTTAATGTTTAGATCAGATCATCGAGTATTCCTCAATAAGTTATCGAAGATCTCTTAATATCCGACCGGTTAAGATCCGATCCTCGTAAATATAAAATTTTAGTTTTTTTTTAATCTTTTAAAAAATTATAATCATATGCAAAGGGATATATTTTTCCTCCAATTTTCATGTCTCCATCCATTAATGCAAGTGATACTTTCACGGTTTTTATTACATGATATTTGATTTTACTTATCTTTTTAATGTCTTATTTGTTAGTTTTTAATATATAATTTAATTAAAATTGCTTATTATCATTGATTTATTGAGTAATAGTAGAAAACATACGTTTATGTATATAACTTTATATACGATATAGAGATTTGTCGTCATAAATCACGCCTTGAAAACGTCGTGACTTTCAAGGCTTGAGGCTTGACCTTGCCTTCACGCCACGTCTCATGCTATTTAGAACCTTGGGTAAAACTGTTCATTAAAAAGAGACAAAAAAATCTTTAAAAAAAATACATGGGATCATGATTCATGAATCACAATTAACAACTTATATTGAATTGTTCAAAATAAATTATAATTATTTTTGTTTTAAAAAAAATAAATAAATAAATTGTATTTTGACACAAAGCACATGTGGTTGAAGGAGGCGTAGGCAATGGGATTTTGCAAGATCTTCAATTGAATCAATCAACAAAGAGGAGTTTCAAGAACTCTTGGAGACTCAAATTTGCCTCCTTTTTCTTGATTTCATGACTATCAATTTATTTTATTTTTTAATTAATATATTGTATTCGAATATTCAATATAAATTGATTAATAAAAAAATAATAATTCGTAATTCTCTTTCATCTTGAAGAAATCTTGATCCTTGTGTCGGAAAAGTCTTTTAGGTGAGATGACATGATTTGATCGAAACAAATCTAGTGGATCTAGACTCCTCAAAGTAGTCATTTCATTGAGAGGTGATGGTAGTTCGTGTCGACACAAACAAAAGATTTTTTTTTAATATTAATATTTATTATAGGATATTGATTTTTTTATTAACCTGGATTTACAACCCGCTATGCGAGCCGACTAATCTCAGGACGACTACATGCTTTGCAAGTAGCCCAAAATCACCGTATTTGAACCTCCGTAGCCACAAGGGGGTTTTTGTTTCTTCTTGGATTTGAACATGGGACCTCCAGACACTTTTGACCTTTGGAGTCAAGCTCAAACCAATCAGGCTTTGTGGTTAGGGATATTGATTTTTTAGAGTAAACTATAAAATTACTATGTGGTTTGTCGGAAAAAACAATTTTTGTCTCTACACTTTCAAAATTTCAAGATAGTTATCGTGATTTGTGGAACACGTCTGGATTTGGTCCCTCACTTTCACGACCATCGAAAAAATTCCCTTAAATGGTAATTTTCGTCATTTTTTCGATTTTTTTTTACTTTTAGAGATCAAAATTTATTATATGATTATCGGTTAAGTGGTTTTTGATTGGCTTAATGGGAAGAAAAGTGTGGTTGAGAAGAGAATACCAAGTAAAATGGCATGGAACACAATTGTGGTCTCAATTGGATGAATTGATCCATCAAATGGACAAGATGGGTGCACCCAAATGATCTCCAATTGCTTGTGTCATGTAGGTCTCTACTTAGTCATGATATTGGAGTGACGTCATCATCCATTTAACATAGTGTTATGGTCATAAAAAATAAGTATTTCATGGTTTTTTTTAAAAAACTATCCATTAATATTATTGGTCAACTATATATTATATTTTGACTATTAAGTCAAAAGAAGTTAAAGTCTATGATCATTCTCAAGTATATGAGATCATGGTTTTGAAAACTTGAAATCAAATTATGTGGTAGGAAAAAGGATTTAGTTTTCTAATGAGTAAAACAGTTATTTTTACTGATTCAGATAAAAAAAATAGGAATTCTTTTTGTTGGTCGGGTCATTTTATATATAATTTTTTTTATCAGATTCAGATGTAAGTTTTTATAACTTCAATCATGATTTTCGTCGTTTTCTTCCGAATCTTTATAAAAGATTTGGAAGATGTATAATGCGATTTGATAACAATTACATGTGATACATAATCTTTATGTTTGGAAACTTTTGACATTGTGGCCTTTCACTTTTTTAATAAGAAACAAAGGAGAAAAGGGTAAAATGAGCACAAGAAAATGGATAACATGCCTTCAATTTTTGGTAGGACAACACCTAATTTAATTGATTGAAAGATGATATTAGTTGACCAAAATGTGGATACAATTGGTTTTGGTCCCATATTTTAGGTAAACTAATGTATCAAACATATTAATTAATCTACATTTTCATTTAATTTTTGTTTTATTAATTATCATTTGTGAATAAAATATGGTATATAAATTTGTACTGTCATTAATGATTCTGGGTCGTATTTTTATGTAAGTTCATGGTAAAATTTATATTGAAATTAAAGCTAAATTTTACTCGAGTTTTTATAAATAGAAGCTTTAGAAGCATGGATGGATTTGCTAAAGGAGTGGTGGGTCGTGCCAACTGCCGAATTGATTTTCTCTGACGTAATGTAGAAAATTATAACCATTGATGTACTATCGTAGTTATTTGTTTGTGCTACCATTAGATGTGATCGCTAAAAAAATTGATGCATATTGGAGTTTAAATTTGAGTTGTAATGATTAACCATGATGGAAACCCTATCGTTGAAATTAGACTGATTTTGTAATGTTTTGTACTATATTTCATAACTATAACTAGTTTTTTTGTGGGAACTGGGACGTTTGATATTCTTCCAACGAGGGGATCATTCTCCCTTTCTTCTGGGCCTAAGCACGTGCTATAATTGCTTTTGGAACAGGAGTGATCATCATGGCCTTCAATATGGTGTGAATTCACACACGATAGAATCGTTATTCTACTTGATATATTTTTCTGTTTACGAGTTTGTATTTACCTATTTTATTGCATGTTTGCATTTCAATCTTGATGGTTGATAAAAGATCTGCGTACATCTTACTCTTCTCAAACCCTACTTTCAGCTATAAGATACTGGTTTTGTTTGGTTTATATAATTTGAGAATGGGTATTGCAATTTGCAAATAATATAAGATGGAAGAAAGAAAGGGAAGGGACAATGCATCATTAGTTTGTCTGCTGTGATGGTCGGTTTGCTTTGACATTCCCTTACAAAAGAGATGGTCCCAAAATCACTCCAACCCACGATTTCAATTCAATTTCAAACCCTTGTGCACGTGCATCCTCATGCCTTCGCCACTTTACGTTCAAAAACCAAATGTTATCCATGTCATTATAATATTACACGAACAAGTGTGTGAGAATATAAGTGAATATGGACCTTTGATCACTTTTAATCTTATCTCCACCTCATGAATTGTATTTATCATGGGACTTGATCAGATGCATCTTAGTGCACCGCATTAGTGTTGATCATCAATTAAGATTGATCCAAAAATGGATATTTTTTCTTATCTTTCTTACCGTAACTTTCATTCTTATCGGAACTCAACCTTATATTATTAATATTAATTATAATATTTAAATAATCAGTAAACTGAACCAACCTTAAACCCTAGACTGATCCAGTGCATGTGGCACTTGGTGAATGTAAATGGACCATCACTTGGATAGCATAAGTGGTTCACCTGTTCCAATTCAGAGAGGGACACTTCACAACCCACTCCCATATACATTGCATCAGAACCCACTCTCATATACATTGCATCAGAACCCACTCTTTTAACTCAAGATGAATCTCAACCATGAAAATGTTTGTTAGCAGTTTAACGAGCCTAACGTGACTCGCAACTTATTCGGTCAGCTATACATAGTTGTTTGGTAGTGCCTTGGTAGTGTAGAAAATGGTTTATTCAGTAAGATTCTAGAAAAGAGTTTTATGCATAAAGTCAAGTTTTTTCCAAATCTAATTCTCCCAATTAAAAACACTCCTTCAATCTATATGAAAAAACCCTCCAAAACAAAATCTTTCCAATTTATACAGACAGATTAATCAACATAAACAACTTTATCTATACATGACTTAATGGAAACCAACCAAACAGTCACTACCTCAATTTAGCCGGTCCGGTGCAGTCCGCGCTTAGTGCCAGGGCCCAGCACTGAAGTCATTCAATTTTGAAATGCAAAATCAGTCTGATTATAATATGAATGGAAGAACCAAGAAAGCCCAAGCTAATCCAGCAATGAATAGAGTCATACAACCTATTTTAGCTTTTATTCCCACTAATCGAATTAATTTGGAGTCCTCTTTTACTTATACATCACAGACTAATGAATTGAACAACAAAAACGATACCCTTGGCATAGGATTTGCAGATTTTGATAACGATTGAGCCTCTTATATTACAACCCCCACTTTGCTTCATGGCCCAATCTGTCGATAAGTCGTCCTTAAGCAGCCAACAACCAGCAGGAAAACGTATTAAGATTCTTTAAAGTCCCCTCTTGTAGCTCAGAATAATTTCCTTGTCCATCTGCATATAAGAAGACGATCGATTAACAACTGTAACAAGCAATTTTTGCAACTACAGTTCAACTACATTACTTTTTTTGTTGTAGATAATTAGAACTTACAGATTTGGCAAGCTCTTTAGCTTTATCATCATCAAAACCAAGTGTTGCCATTATCTTGTGAGCAGCCGATTCCTTTTCCGCCCATATTCCCAGAAGCAAGTGGGAGGTTGTCACTTCTCCTGTTTCTCCTGTGAATATTACAATAAAAAAGATCAAAATTTAGTAATGAGAAAGCTGGAAAGACGTTATTCTCACCAAGTGCTGGATGACATTCAGCACCTTATTTTTCTGTGAGAGATCAAAGGCATCAGAAATCAATGCCCAATTTCCCAAATTGGTTGCTGACAATAACTATCAAGTCCAGTAATAAATAAAAAACGACTTGCCCTGTATGGTGCGGTCCTAGCCCCCAAAGTAACTAAGCATACACAGGCAAAGGTAAACAGAGTTTGAAGTACCCAACTGGCTACATCTAACCACAAGAAAAATATCATGGCAGTTTAGTTTACTTTTCAGGGAAGAAAAGGGCATAAAAAGTAACTGCCCAAAGGAAACCCAATAAGCTCACTACTAAGCTGTCTACCAAATTACCTATAGTGTAACCTAGCTCCACGGAACTAATTTTTCACATGCAAGTCCCATAAGGACGAGCACACCTCACTTATTTGTGGCATGAAACGTGAACATGGGCTACAGACATCATGACCACCTTATCCATAATATTTTTTAACCTGTAGGTATACTAAACATGTCAACAGTAGGAAACGTTTTGAGGACATGGCATATGGCACGCACAGTAGTATGAGGTCTATCAGCCATCCATAATTGCTAAATGGGATCCATGTTTTCCATTCAGGTGCGGTCAAGAAAGTTTTGAGGAACTACCTTAAACCAAACTAGGTCTTTTTTTTTTTGGTTTCTTTTTTTTTTTTTTTTTTATCTTACTTCTTTCATCATTTTTCTCTTTTTTTCTCTCGAGTCCATTATATTAATCCCAATCTTAGNGGGGGGGGTCCTGGCAACCAAAAGTGCTCAAGTTCAATACAAATCTCAGCAACCACAATCATAGATTTGGTTTGGAGACAAAGTCCTTGTGTTGTTTTTTTCCATCACAAGAACATGAAAAAACTCGTCTCAATAGTCCAGAGACTATACACAAAGCGCAGTTCAATCACTTTACATCCTAGTCAGTAGTCCTCTAACTACCGTGTGCAGCTTGAGAGCCCCCTCTATAATTTCTAGTATTTTTAGCCTGTACCAACTAGTTTGGATTAAAATTCCTTGATGTTGGCGTCGGATGCAGAGGGAGTCCATGCCCAAACAATGGAATACATATGATTGCAGAAACTAGATCACATTGTTGATTTGGCTTGTAAACAACAGCATGCAAGCATTTACCTGTATATATCAATAGGATCACGCTGTAATTTACTATGATTTAGTCTCAGATAAACAGCAATGCTTAGATAATATAAAAAAGAAAACTAGTTTGGGACAAAAGGCTCGTTGCTTGTGTATCAAACAAGATCCTCCATTCCACCAAATAGGCTTTTTTCCTTGCCAACATGAGTTTCTAACTGGACTTCGCTTTCCATTATTGTAGAGATTTAAACCATATGTGGCTGAGTTCTAGATCCCTCCTTCCTAAGATGGCTACTTCGGCGTCGTTTGGCTCAGATCAGAAAATTCAGAATCCTCAAGAAGCTAAACCAGATTGATTTAAAAACAGAAGGCCTTAAGAAGATAGTCGCCTGAAAGTATCTTAACAATCATCAATCTCGAATGATGATGCTCTACTTGAGACCAAATGAAAAATTGCTCATTCAGGGTGCATTCTTTCTCACTTTCTTTTTTCATCTCCATCTGTCTTCCTTGTCCTTTGTGACACAAAGATGTACAAAGTGTTTTAAGGTCAACATAAAAAGTGTTACAAGAAGAATTGCACATAAGCACAATTAGCAATATGCAGAAGCCAAAATCAAATCTTACGAACTTAGAATTTTACAATTAAAAAAAGCAGAAATATACAAGAATACTAGTACTCCAGTACAGGGAATACGAAATTCTACCTGACTTCAGTTTCTCATTAATTGCCCAATCAATGGCCCTGCGAGCTGGTTCAGTCAATGGGGGATGCTCAGGGCTAAAAATATACATGTCTGATTTTCCAAGTAATCTTACAGTTTCTTCTCGCACTTTGAAAAGTGTTACACCACTTTCTCTTAATAACTTTGCAGCCAAACTAGTTCCTGAAAAAACAGATGGTTTAACAAATTGATACCACCAAAGAAAATCTAGCAAGCTGGAAGGTTACAGGAGGATGTCCCCTTTAGAAAACGAAAAATCCCTTTTAGGTTTGTGCAAAAAGCGAATATAAAAGTTACATGCTGGGTGTTAAAGAAAAACACATGTATATATAAGCAAGTCACACTAAAAAGTGTAGCATTAATACAATTATACAAACACTAATATAAAAGATGTGTGGGTTCATGATGAAAGATTATTACAAAATAATTGGATTTCAACCATGATATTTTCATGGATTCTAATAAAAGTAACAAGACGGATATATTCTAAATCTTGAGATACTTGGGTCTATGTCAATTGAAAGGGTATTACAAGGCCTCATCTGCAAAATAGCCCCCTAACTTCGGAAGAAGGGGTGCCTGATCCCCCTTTCTCCTCGGTCCACAGAGACAAAATGGGAATATTTTAGGGGACAAGCATACCGGGATCACAGTAAGTCTATCAAAACTGGTAGCTTCTGTTACCAGGACTAGAAAGATTCATCCTTTGGCACGGTTCATTAAAAGTTTAAGCACCATCATCTAAGGAGCCTCATAGTGGTGACTTTGATAGACTCTATTTAGGAAGACGAAATCAGAAAGGCTTATACATCAGAATTTTGCAGTCAGATTTAAATCCGCTATAGTAATGTGGTTTCTGATGTCTGGCATGCTTCAGAAGATTAATATATAAGTTGATCAACTAGTCTGGCCACATGAATTTAAAGTTGATTATGCATGTCATTACTCATAAGCATTTAGATCAAGTCGCAATGGATGTGCCAAGTTAAGAGATAAAGAAATCATCTGACTGACCCTCAACCAATATACCCATCAACAGAGCCTCGGTCCCAGTATTCATAAACTTCAACTTCCTAGCTTCCAATTCACCCATAGCAAACGACTTTATGAATCTAAACGACCACCTTCACACACTCCCATATGAACATAAATTTTGTTAGATAAAAGAAAATGATGACGGCATGAGTACTAACAGCAGAACAACAAAATTGCACAAATAAACTTACTTAGCGGATTTTTCAGGAGTTTCTTTCTCTGATGTCCTGCAAAATCCCAATAAAATTGCATAATTAACTCAATTTGTTTGGGAAGTATGAGTTCCACTTTGACTTCTAGGGTCAACCATGTTACTTTTCAATTTCGAATTTTATATAGTTTTGTTGAAGATATAACAAGGGCATTATTCATCATGTTGATAGCGAAGTCTAGTGTCTTCCTCCAACATTTATAAACTCAAGTCCATTTCCAAGCATACGTCTTCAAAAAAGTCAAACTACAACACTCATATGAAGCCACATAATAGCAATTGATGGACAAAGAAACTAGACTTACGGAGTTGTAGGACTAGACTCCACCGTTGCGACGATGGATGAGTAACGCCCAAAAGTTCTATGCCGCGATTTCGATTGCTGAATTGAGAGGTGAAGTCCGACGAATGAAGTAACCATAACCCTGGACGTGATTATCCTAGGCGCGAGGAACGAGGAATTGTATGAATTCCGGCAACGACAACCGGAAGATGAAGGGGAGACGGGAAGCACCGAAAGAGATTGGGCAGCCATGGGGGAAACAAAGAAAACCCTAACCAACTTCTTGTTTAATCTTCTGCCGTGAAAGCGGAGACGACGTTTCCGGTTTTTCTTTCTGTCTTTAAAAAGAATATAAATATATTTGTGACGTGAAACTTAAGAAGTCTTCTGATTATCGTTGGGCCAAAAGTTAAATTTTCGTTGATCTTTCGAGTGTTATTTATATCAAGAGAAAGTATCTGAATTATCAAGAGGTAAATCTTATTTGATAAAAAAAGTTTGCTTTTTAATAATTTTAAAACCCTCTGAATAATTTTGTATCATGAGTCTCCTTTAATCATTAAGCGTTCTGATTTCATTATAAACAATTATATTTCATTTTGCACTATATCATGAAAGCCTCTAAATCATTTTGTACCAAATCATTCAGCAACTGTCACACAACCCCTTAATATTGATTTTTTGTTTTCTATAACAATTGTATTTTTATGTGAAATTAGCTTTAACTATAAAGAGGACGGGATCCTTTGATTGGTTTTTAATTAATTTTTGTACTGGTAAAGTTGTTTGTCAGTATAGATTGTGAAAGCTTTCATTTAAGAGAGTTTTTTCATATACATAATGAACTTGTCTTTTAATTGGAAGAAGGCATATGTTTGGAAAATTTTGGTTTTCTGCATAAATCTCTCTCATAAAGGATACTGAATAAGATATTTTCTATATTATTAAGTCACTATCAAACACTCATGTATAGTTGATCAAATAAGTTGTGGGTCTCGTTAAGCTCATTAAGCTGCTGAAAAACCTGTCATAAGAGAGCTTGAGAGGGATATGCTTGTGCAATGATATTGATGAGGCATCAACCTCTTTACATAGTGAAACTATGAAAGGGACATAATCGACATTGAGAGTTACATAACCCTGTTAACTTATATATAGAGGCATTGTTTAGCATATAAACTAGTTTGAATTGACATAAGCTAACTTATTAAAACGCTGGTTAAAGTAGTTTATATGAAGTTTTTTTCTCACTTTTTATGGTTACAACTTTCATTAATATTAATCGTCATTCATTACTATTAATTGTAAATAAATATTAATTATTACTAATATTA